AAAATGTTGGTATCATTTTAAGTTGATTTCAACGAGAAAAATCGTCAATGGAGTCCTAGAATCCAAAGTAGTATGTAAATACTGCCAACAAAGATTGGCATGGCAAAGAGAAATTGGTACCACCCATCTCAACTGTCACTACAAAGTATGTGCGGCCAAACACGGACTTATTCCAGGCTGTCAAATACAATTGCAATTTGGCAGTCCAGACATCGATGGTTCTGCTGCACCCCTATCCACATGGGTGTATTTGGAGGAGAAAGCTCGAACCGGAATGGTGAAACTTGTTGCTGGTGCTGAGTTGCCTATGGCATTAATTAACAACCAACACTACGTCTCGTATGTGAAAAAATATCTGCAGTCAAGGTACGTTGGGGTAAGTCGAAACACTCTTCGTTTCGATACAATCTAATATTTTACTGAAACAAAACAACAATTAATTATTGATTTGCAAAAATATGGAGGTGTCATATCTTTAACTTTGGATATATGAGAAGGGATTAATAAAAGAGCATATATAGCTGTAACTGCACATTATATAGACCCACTTTGGTGCATGCATAAAAAAATTATTGCTTTTAGAATTATTGAGTTTCCCCACAACGCTAATAATATATTTAATACTATTATTAGTATTGTTAGAGAATATCATTGAGAAAGTAAAATTCATTCATTTACTTTCGATAATGCTAGTGTTAATAAAGTAGTTGTCAATAAATTACATAGGGTACTACAACCTGATTTGGTGGGTATTTGTTTCATATTCGTTGTGTATGTCATATTTTGAATTTAATTGTCCAAAATGTTTTAAAACATATAAATGATAAACTTCAAAATATTAGGAACGCACTAATATATATCACAATCTCCCCAAGTAGAAAACAAGCATTTGAGGATTATCGTACCTAAATAGGAGTGCAAAATGTTAAAACATTTGTTAGTGACGTACGTCATAGGTGGAACTCTACTTACTTGTTATTAAAATCATTTGAAGGTTTCGAACATTTAATAATTGACTTTTATAACAATAGACATGTTAAAAGTGATGACGAGGGTATGTTGATTGAACGTGATTGACAATTAGCTTTGAAAGATAAAAGATTTTTGACATCTTTTTATGAAATCACTAAGATTTTATCCGGCGTTTACTATCCCACCAGTTGTATGGTACTTGAACGTTTTTATATAATTGCAAGAACATTTCATAAATACAAAAATGATCC